AAAAAACTATGAAACTTTAATACTATATATACTTAAAGGTATAGAGATAATTGAATTAAGAAGAATCATATGGGAAAAAATATTTAATGATAACGAATCAGAAGATATATTAAACCAACAATGGTATGAAATAGACATACATGATTTAGACCTCGAAAAAATAGAATGGTATGATTTAGAAATAAATTCGGATTAAAATGAACTACGAATATTTACAATATTGGACAGAAGCTATGAAAGACATAAAACTATTAGAACAATTAATGGAAAATAATTTAAGAAAGTAAAGAACGTGCAGAAATCTTAAATCTTAAAGGTATGATTCATAAAAGGAGATAGAAGGAAGCATATTTCATCAAAGCTTTTCTACACTCATGAGCTCCCAAGAATGGAGATATCAACATGCAACAGGTTTGTTCAAGTAATACTATAGTTAATTTATCCACCAAGTCTCTACCAACTACAATTTTCAAGAAGATGGTGCACAAGCTTGGAAAACAAAGATTCTAGTCTCTGGATTGATGTTCTCATTAGGGGGAGTTAATACGCGATGTACTCTTTTTCCCTCACAAGGTTTTGTCCTATTGAATTTTCCTTGTAAGATATTTATTGAGGCATCCATAATGTGTATTATTAGATATGTGTACTCTTTTTCCTTCACTAGATTTTTTTCCACTGAATTTTATCTAGTAAGGTTTTAAGGAGGCATATAATCTATCAAATAGACATCCAAAGGGGAGTGTTATAAACATATTTGTATTATAGTGAATGTCTATTATGTGGAGTCATTTTAGGGAGTAGTTAGGAATCCTACTTGGAGACCAAGTTAGTTTTCTCCTATAAATAAAATGGGTTTTTCTTCATTGTAAATCATATATGTGAATCCTGAATATACTTCAAGAGGAATATAAAGTCTTCTCTTCTCCCTACTTTGTTCTTCTTCTTAATTTATATAGTTTCATAACACTATATATTTTTTTGGAATTGTTTTAAATTTTTATATATTTAAATTGGAGAAACTAATAAATAACTGTTTTTGTTTTCAAAAATAAAAATAGTACTCCTAATAGAAAGAACTACCCGCGTTCTTTGAAAAAAAAAACATATATTTTTATTAATTTAAATATAAATTTAATATAATTAAATAAGAAATTACTATTTTATTTTACAACTAAACGTTTTTTAAAAATTTAAAACAGTTCTAAAAAATAGGGTGTGTGATTCCTTTTCGTTGGTGGGCTGTTACCATATTTTTATTAATTTGAATAATATTTTTTTTTCAAGAATTAAATTCTTGATCAGATACCTATTTCAAGAGTTAAATTCTTGATCAGTTACCTAAATTTTAGGCCATCACTGCAATTTTCGTAACTTAAAATTTTTTAAAAATAACTGCAATTAAAAATTATTTTTTAGTTTACAACAGAAAAAAGAGTTCTAAGCGTGCATTAGTTTAAGGTTGCACGTTTTTAGAACGCCAACAGGGAGAGTTAATGTGGAGTTAGGAATATTTTAATTTTTTTTTCATTATTTTTTTATTTTGATAATAAATATAATTCTTTGTGTGGTGCTGACACATGATGATTTTTACCTCTCCTATTAAATATTGATAGAAGATTATCGTGAATTTGTGTAGAATTTTGGTTTTAAATGGTATGTAAAATATTAAATTTATTAATTAAAATTTCGTATATAGAAAAAAGTGTAAACACATATTAATTTAACTATAAAATAAATGAAAAATAGACATTATAATTGTTGGCTATAATGTTTATTTTTTTTTCAAAAATAACTATCAAAATTCTTAACCGTAATCTAGATTATGTGATTATCTTATTTATCATTTCAAATCACGATTATAACTTATATTAACCATAAAATACACTATACTACCCGAAAATGTAACAATTTATGAAAAGGGAAAAATTTTTTGACTAGAAAATTTGATCAGAATTTGAGCATAATGGTCAAATAATATATTTTACACGTTATTTTACTTTTTTGAACATTTTTACCCTTTTAACTTTAATACCTTTTAATTAAAAAATAGAAAAAGATCAGTTTATTTTAAAATAAAAAGATATTATAGACTCTGACCATTTAGTATTACCCAGAAGGTTGCTAGCCTAAATATACATAAGGAAGGGATATAGATGCAGCGTTTTATCCGTTACTCAGATAGTAACACACAGCTTCTGATATATAAAAAACTAGGAAATTAAAGGCAGAGAGTGACATGAAACTTTTTCCGTCTCTTCTACGCTATTAAGACAATTTGTATCCGCTTTTTGAATTCAGAATCCACATGTTCTTCATTTCTTATTTGATAATTGAAATAATTTATGAGGACGCAAATAAAATCAAGTTTTTAATTTTATTCAATTTTTTAATTATTATTAATTATTATTTTATTATTGTTAACTTTGGTGATTTTAAAGAATAACCAATTTATGAAATGCATATTAATTTAATATGCACAAATAAATAAGCTAATTAGTTGTATCATTAGTTTTAGGGAAAATACATAAAAACCCCCCCTGAACTTGGCACGAAAACTTACTTTAGTACTTAAACTACACGGGTGTTTATATACCCCCCTTAACATCTTTTATGTGAATTATTTTCAACCCTCCGAACATCAGCCCAGTTGAAGGCTGGGCTGATGTTACACACGCGCGTTTTCATTGGTCCACGTCGCAAAGGGTTTTAAAAATATCTTACCCGTTTTATATAACCCACCCGTTCCCAAAATACAACCCAACCCATTTTTAAACAAATATTCCTAAATCTCTCTCAAATCTAAAGACCTAATTTGAAGAATAACAAGTCATTAGCGTGAAGCATTTGCTGAGTTTAGTATTTTCGTGAAGAAACAAAGGATTTGCGTGAAGAAACAAAGTTACCAGGTTAGTAATCTTCGTTTAGATGATTGTAACATTTGACCGAGTTTAGGGTTTTCGTAAAGCTTAGTTTTTTTTTTATCTTTTCAGTTTGACGATGGATGTGTACGTTACCTTAAGGTTTCACCATGGTGGAAAACTACAACAAAAACCTCGTATTAAGTATGAAGGAGGTATTGTCACTGATTGTTTTGATGTAGATGTTGATAAATTGTCCTACTTTGAATTTGTTGATATAGTTAAAGAAATTGGCTATAACTGTTCTGCTTGTGTTGTTTATATTAAACCACCTAAATGTCGACGTGTTGTTGAAGTTAAAAGTGATAGGGATATTATGGGTATTGTACATAAATTAAAAAATGGAGATATTGTTGAACTTTATGTGACTCATTTAGTTGAAGAAGCTGTTGTGCCCCCCC